TGGACTCTAATGAACAAAATAGATCCAGAAACACAGAAGCATGGATCAGACTATAGAATCTCAGCAGGAAGGTGGAAGTGGGTGGGTGAGTAGAAATCAACCAAAGAACTTGTAGGCATGCATAACCCATGGACACAGATAATAGGGTGGTGAAGGCCTAGGGCGGGGGGACCAGAGGGCAGGCTTATAAGGGGTAAATGGGAGAAAAAAGGGGTCATATGTAATATTTTCAGCAATAAAGATTTTAAAAAACATGAACATTAAAAAAATAAATAAAAGGAAACCTGCATAAGCAATGATTTCGGATATTTGGCTTACCATAATTTTTTTGGTGGGGGAATAAATTTTAAGGAAATATTTAACTTGGGCTATTAACATTATTGTACATTTCCTGAACATGGTAGCTAAAGATAAAGAGAAAAGTCTAGTAACCTGTAACTGAAAGAAGTTAATCTAGAGCAGCAATTTTCAACCAGTGTGCCATAAGAATATTTAAAACATGTAATACTTAGTCAGGGGCACTGACTTTTTTACTAGTAACTTAAGATTGTTAAATTAAAAAAAATGACAACAACCAACACAACAACAGCCATCCAGTGTGAATGAATCAAAATTATACCTGCCCTGGCCAGGTAGCTCAGTTGGTTAGAGCATCGTCCCGATAAGCCAAGGTTTCAGGTTTGATCCCTGGTCAGGGCACATACAAATATCAATCAATGAATGCATAGATGGGTAGAACAACAAATCAATGTCTCTTTTTCTCTCTCTAAGAAACAATCAATCAATCAATGCATCAATAAAAAAGGAAAAACACTATACAGTTGACACTTTAGTAACACATGTTTGAACTGCATGGGTATACTTATATGTGGAATTTTTCCCCAATAAATACATACACTACTGTAAATGTATTTCTCTTCCTCATGATTTTAATATTATTTTCTTTATTGTAAGAATATATACATACATATAAAATACAAAATATGTGTTAATAGGCAGCTTATGGGCAACAGTAGGTTAAGTTTTGGGAGAGTCAAAGTCATATTCAGAGTTTTGACTGACCATGAGGGCAGGGGACTGTGGCCTCTAAATCCTGAGTTGTTCAAGGGTCAACTGTAACTCAATTAGGCGGTCAAGTTAGACATTTTGGCTTGTTTTCTTGCAGTCTATTAAGAGCAATTTAGTTTAAAGACAAAATTTTAAAGTTTTTAAGCTCCATAAAAAATAATAGCCTATAGTTTTTCACTATACTCTATTTAAAATGAAGCATGGTACAGGTGAAATAGCATGAGCTACTAAATCATCAAACACAAACTAAAATTAAAATTTTGTCACTTACTAGTCAACTGATTTTAAAAATCTCATTTAGCTTCAGTATTTCCCTTGTAAAATCTGGATAATGTCAGCTGCTTCATGTTTTTACTGCCAGGATTAAAATGTACAAAAGCAGCACACATTGAGCTTAATGAAAATACGTATTAGCTGCTTTCTATTATTACTCATAACTTTTCATGTAGAAGCTAATTTCTAAAAATGAAAGGTGGAAAAGTAGCAAAATTAAGATTAAAAAAGGAAAGAGATTAAACAAAGGTTATTTATATATAAGGCTAGAAAATCTGCACAAAAACATACTTCAAAAAACTGAGGCTGAAGAGACTTCAGCATTTCTGAAATATCATAAAGCACTTTACTGGTATATTACTTCTGATAATAAACAAGCTATTTTTAAAAGTCTTAATATTTAAAAAATTTTAAAAATATTATGGATGTATATAAGTTTTGTAGTTTTTGCAAGCTAACTTAGTAATAGATGTCAACAGAAATAGAAGGCAAACTGCTTTTAAGTTATTATAGATTACTAGAGGCCCGGTGCATGGGTGGGGTCTGGCCGGCTGATTGGGCTGGGATGGCCAGGAGGAGAAGTGGGAGGTTGGCCGGGCTGCCCCACCTCTGATGGGGTGGGAGGGGCGATCGGGGGCAGGGCCAGCTGGGGGGAGGGGCCACGGACCCCCTGGTCGAACTCCCGGTAGAAGGGACAATTTGCATATTAGCCTTTTGAAATATTTGAAAATTTTTATTATATAAGGATTCTTTTCATTGATTTATAATAATTACATATGCTTATATTTAAGCTTGGGAACAAGTTTTATGTATAACCTAGTGAAAGGTGTCTCTAGACTTAAATAAAATTGCTTTAATGTCTTGGTATGCGTCACTAAATTCTAAGTTTTATGGCAATAGTTATGATATGGAGAGCAGTGTAGTAAGACTACCTTAGATCAGAAGGTAAAAGACCTGGTTTCTATTTGTAGCTCTGACATCTGGTAGGAGTGTGATCTTGAACAAATTATAAACTTTCTGAGTCTCAGTTTTTTTCATCACTAAAACAGGGATTATATCTGTCTTGCTGTCATAAGGATCCAGTGTCAATATAACAACACAAGACTCAAATACTGGCTGCTTTTAGACAGCAGAGCTAAGTAGCTAGGAGCAGGACTTCTGTATTCCCTTTTATATCCTAGAAGGTTTGTACACGTGCAAGTATTATTTACCCCCAAAATAAATTTAAAAGGCTGGTGAGCCTGGCTGGTCTGGCTCGGTGGTTGAGTGTCGAGCTATGACTGATCAGGGCACATGCCCAGGTTTCGGGTTCAATTCCCAGTGGGGGGCATGCAGGAGGCAGCCCATGGATCGATGATTCTTTCTTATCATTGATGTTTCTCTCTCTCCCTCCTCTCTCTGAGATCAATAAAAAACATATTAAAAAATAAATAAAAAGACTGGTGAGTTTTAGGATACATTCAGATATATACAAATTTCTAAACTCCCTTCAATGTTTTTTCAATTATCGTTACACTCTCTTTCACAGGATCAATGACTTTTATATAAAGTACATATTTTGTTGAAAAGGTATATTTAAAACCCCTTCCATAAGGCAATACTAATATGCCTCTTGGATAAACTGACTCTAACACTGTGATATTATTATTTATGTAGGTAATACCACCATCAGTCAAATGGTAATATATTCATGTTTTCTCCTTCTATTGCCCTTGAGACCAATAATATTTGTGAGCCTAAGGGTACTATGAATGGTCACAACAGAACAGAGCTAACTAACTTCACTGCAATTGGATCTGAACTTGGCATCATTTTCAGTGAGTTCATTCAGCTACTCACTTCTGTGAGACATGCACTGTTAATGATAAACACATCCATTTGGAAAATTTTGATAGCTACATCAGTGACAGACAACTACATCGATTTCTTTTTAAAAAGCCATGTAATCTTAAATAACCAGAAATCTTGCTAACATTTAAGTTACACACATTTCATTACTGCACTATCATCTCATACATATTTGAATGTCTGTTTTCCTCAGGAAGACCATGAACTCACTGAAGACATTAAAATTTGCAGGCATTTGACTGAAACAGAAACAGAATTGTAAAAACACACTAGCAAAAACAAGATTACATCTTTTCATATTTGAAAATTTTTACAGGATAATGACTTAAACCGACTCCATTTTAAACGAAACCATCAAATGCCCACCCAATACACATTAATAATAATTAGTTTTATACATCCATGAATATCTCCTATATATTTTAGCAGTTTGGTGGAGATAGGTATCATTTTCATTTTGGGGATGAGAAACCTGACAATCTGGAGAAGTAAAGGAGCGTGTTCAGGGTTTAATCAAAATTAAAACCTAGGGCTGTTTGACTGTAAGGCACAAGCTCTTTTCATACATGTGAAATTTGTAAAGGAATATTTGCTTTAGCCTATGAATCAAATGGCTTGATTGCTAAGCAAAGCGAAATGACAGAAGTGTGGACCGCATTCATATTTTTAAAGTCAAATGGTATCACAGACATTATAGTTAGGGCGTTTCATAGCTATAATTCTTGTTCCAATTTCCAAATTCTTCTTATGCTGAGCTCTGAATAGTGCCTACACTGAAATCTCATCATGATTTATTCAGTATTGAGATGAACAATGTCGGAGTTCGGCTTGACCCCTACTGTCTATCCAATGATATTTACTTTGATAAAAAATAAAATTTTGTAAGTCAGTCTATCTAAAAAACTCAGATGGATTGTCTCAGGTACCTTTCACTGGGAAATGCGACACTAGGTTGGTTAATTTCCCACACATCCCAAGTTCTTTTTTCAGCTAATCACTCTTCCTCTTCATTCACACAGCAAACCCCAGTATCTAGCGAGACTGTTTGGAGCCCCGGCTCTCAAAACAGCCCTTTTACACACACAATGCCACCGCCGCGGAACAATACCCGGGTTTGTCTTCACTCTGTGTGAGCCACCTTACCAAATGGAACGAGACAGAAGAACAACAGGGAAATCTCTACAACAGAAAAACGTCTCACTTATGTCCTAAACCATGTATAACTGAGGCTGTGTGGGGGACCACACACACACACACACACACACACACACACACACACACTCTGTGAAGGTTTCATCAGAGACCGGTCTACTAATATGGAGAACGTGAAGACACAAGCAAAGCATCAACTCAATGACCAAGACCTTAGCAACGATTACAAGGACCGAAGTATTCAACAATATACTTTCGTTCTAGCTCTTCTTTTAGATCCAAATGCGCACTTCTGTGAACTTAAGTGGGGTCTGAACAGGGAAACCCAACTTTCTTCTTCAGGGATATATGTGGATCCCCGAGACTACGCGTTAATGTACTCGCCATACCTTCAGGGACCGAACACTGTGATTAAATGTTCCCTCCTTCTGATCTCTGTAAAAACGACCAGGTGAGGGTGCGAAGGATGCCAAGATCAAAGGCTCGAGAAAGGTCTTGCCTCCCTCTCTTCTAGAGAAGATGCCATTCTCTAGCCGGGCGCCCGGGAAGGGCTGGACCCGTTTAGGGTCGCGGACGTGGTCGCACGTGAGAAGAGCCGGAAAGGTAGGCGCGGACCCCCATCCCCAAGGCCCGGCAGCAACCACCCTTCCCCCACTCACCGCTCCGAGCGCAGTTTCATTGGGGCTGTCCGAGTAGCAGCCGCCATCACCATCGCCATCAGTCTGGGTGCTCGCGGAGGTGGAGACGGGAAGCCCAGCCACTCCTGCACCTCATGTAGGTCTCCCGAGGCGGTGGCCTTTCTGCGAGCTCCCACCTCTCGGCGCCCGGTTCCCGTCTCTTACGTCGCGGTCACCGCCTCCGTCTGCTCCCCAGACGCTACCCCCACTTCCGTGTCGGGCTCCCTCCCCTTTCTTCCTCACTCCCCCGGCAGCCGGCTCTTTCCTCGCAGCTGACGTCACCAGCCCGCGACCTGGGGCCGGGATTAGCGCCGGGCGTGGGCGGGGCGGCGCAGGCGCAGTGGGGCGAGCGCGCCGAGCGCGGGAAGTGTCTGCGCGCCGGGGGTTGCCTGTCCTCTCTCCTGTCGCGGGGCTCAGGCGGCTTGGTGAGTCCTTCTCTCGCTACTCGCGCCGGAGAGAAGAGTGTCCTCTTCCAGGATTACTGTCTGACAGACACTCCATTTGCTTTTTCTGTTTGTGCCACTCGGGTGGGGGAAGAGAGGCTGCCGGGAGCATGCCCGTGGGGAGGCTCACCCCCTTGTCCCCCAGCCCCCGGCTTTTTCGTCTTTAAAATAATACTATATGTGATAAAACATTTCCAGGGAGGCGAAGGAAAAGATGCCTGCCACACAGAAGCCGATGAGATACGGACATACAGAGGGACACACGGATGTCTGTTTTGACGATTCGGGGAGGTAAAGTACTTTGAGAAGCAAAAAAACAAAAAACAAAAACGTTTCAGGTGTAAATATTAGAACATTTATTCTTATGTGTTAGATAAGCAGTCAGCCTAACATGACTCGTACCAATATAGAGAAATAAGGTTGAAATATAAAGTGGCACACATATTTTCCTTAGATTTATTCTATACGGACTGTCTTGGTAGTTGAAGGATATATAAAAAAAAAAGTTGATGAGTGTAAAATCTTGCTTCCAGGGGAGTTGGAAAGACGCGCGCTTTCCTCTGTGTTTCACCTCTGTTCAATTCCTCACAGCATCTCACGGGCTATCCTGTCGGATTGGTAGGTGCCCACTTGTCAAATTCAGTGGCCCCTTCTATCTCTTTTGTATGTTATCCTCCCTTGGCTTTCCTGAGGCTGTTTCCTTTTTTGTTGTTTTTAACTTTCTGATGGTTTTACCCTCCCCCCCCCCCTAATTTATTTCCTCTGCTTAGTCCCTATGGTGATATTTTCCCAGGGTCATTCTGGCCCTACCCCCCACCTTCTTGTTTTAAATCTTCACCCAAGGATATGTTTTCATTGATTTTTAAAGAGAGAGGAAGGGAGGGAGGAAGAGAGTTTCGGAAAAGGGGGGTGGGGTGGGGATCGAACCCTCAACCTAGGTATGTGCCCTGACCGGAAATCTGACCTGCCACCGTTTGGTGTAGGGAGGACCCCTCAACAGACTGAGCCGCCTGTCCAGGGCTGTCGTGGTCCCTTTTATCTTTCTAAATCCCACTCCTATGCAGCCCTGTCTAATTCTGTGGCTTCCTCTGTCACGTCTGTGTTGATTTTTTTTCATTAAAAAAATGTGTTCATGGCTGTTCCACTGAGAGCTAGAGATACAGTCATGTTAACGAAGCACAATCTTTTCCTTCATTGACTTTAAGGTCTTTTCAGATAGACACCGAGCACAAATTAATCACATAAAATAAATGTACATTTAGAATTACACTCAGAAGTATGAAATGATATGTGCAATGATAAGCCTAACTGAAGGGGAGTTGATGTAGTTTGAAGAGGCAGGGAAGGCTTCTCTGAGGAAGTATTTCTTTTTGTTTATTTAAATTGATATTTGAGAGCGAGAGAGAACCATTGATTTGTTGTTAGACTTATTTATGAATTCATTGGTTGATAATTATATGTGCCCTGACCGGGGATTGAAACTGCAACCTTGGTCTATCAGGGTGATGCTCTAACCCAGTGGTCGGCAACCTGCGGCTCTTTGGCCCCTTGAGTGTGACTCTTCCACAAAATACCAGTGCGGTTGAAACTTTGTGGCCCATGCGCAGAAGTCGGTTTTTGGCCTGGGCGAGTCTATTTTGAAGAAGTACTGTTGATATTTGGCTCTGTTGACTAATGAGTTTGCTGACCACTGCTCTAACCAACTGAACTACCTGGCCAGGGCATGAGGAAGTGTTTTTTGAGGTGAGATCTGAAGACTGAGTAGTAATTAAGAAGTATAAAGAGATAGGTGGTGGCAGCGGGGTGGTGGTGTTGGCGTTCAAGGAAGAGGGAACACCATGTGTAAAGGCCCCGTGGGAATAGGGACTGCGGTATGCTCAAAGAACTGAGGGAAAGCTAGTGATGCTAAAATGTGGATAGTGATGCAGAGATTGACATGAGATGAATCTGTGAAGGTAGGCATCCTATCCAACGCCTTTTGGGCTTTATTAAGGAATCTTGACTTCATATGGTAGGAAGGTACTAAAGATTTGAAGCAGAGAGGAGATATGATCAGACTCTTTTGTTGTTGTTGTTATTGTTAATCCTCATTAGAGGTTATTTTTCCATTGATTTTTAGAGAGAGTGGACAGAGAGAAACATCAATGTCAGAGGGACACATTGATTGGTTGTCTCCCTCATGAGTCTTGACCAGGGCCAGGGATCAAGCCTGCAACCAAGGTACAGGCTTTTGACCAGACTTGAATTTGGGACTCTTTAGTCTGTGGGCTGACGCTTTATCCACTGAGACAAACTGGCTAGGGCCAGACTCTTGTTTTTGAGAGGATGCATGGAAGAAAAGGAGTAGGAATGGATGCAGAGAGACTATTAGAAGGTGTCTGTCTTAGTCTGGTTCATGTAATGGAAGCTCAGACTAGAGTAAACAAGGGTATGTAGAAAACAGGATACATTCAGAAAATCCTTAAAAAGCGAAATGAGCCCTAGCTGATTTGGCTCCGTGGATAGAGCCTTGGCCTAGGGACTGAAGAGTCCTGGGTTCGATTCCGGCCAAGGGCACATGCCTGGGTTGTGGACTCAATCTCCAGTAAGAGGCTTGCAGAAGGCAGCTGATCTATGATTCTCTCTCATCATTGATGTTTCTATCTCTCCCTACCTCTCCCTTCCTCTCTGGAATCAATAAAAATATATTTTAAAAAAGGTGAAATCAGCAGGATGGATGGATATTAAGGACAAAGAAGAGGGAAGTGTCTAGGATAACATCTGTGATTCTAGATGGGGAAGTAATGGTGCCATTCACAGATGTTTAAAAAGCTTGGAGAAAAGCATATTTCAGTGGTAGAATGGGGGTGGAGATTGAGTTAGCTTTTGGACATGATTTAGTGTAGGAAGGATGTCTTTGAGATATTCAAAGAGAGAAGTAGACAGCTGAGTAAATGGGTCTAAAGCTCAGAGAAGAAATGTGAACTGGAGATAGAAATCTACATCTTTAGCTGATGCCTTCTGGAATTCAGGACCGAGGTCTTGACTGGAAATCTAAATGTGGGAGTTGCCAATATAGAGATGGTATTTAATGCTTTGAACTTGGATGGCATCACCTAGGGAAGGAATGAATGCAATTAAGAAAAAAGAATCAAGGGCTAAGCCCTGGAACAATTAAAAATATTTAGAGATCAAGAAGGGCTGGCAAGGAAAATAGAAAACCAGGATAGAAGAATGATTTCTAGAAGCCAAATGAAGTAAGCATTTTGAGGAGGAAATACTAAACTATGTTAAATATTGCTGGTGGATCAAATTCAGGACGGAGAATTCACCATTAGCTTTAGTGACGTGGAGGACATGGATGATCTTGAGCTTTTTTATGGAATGGTAAGAATGAAAACCTTGCCCTGGTCAGGTTGCTCAGTTGGTTAGAGTGCCATCCTGATACTCCAAGGTTGTAGGTTTGATCTCCGGTTAGGGCACATACAGGAAGCAACTAATGAATGCATAAATAAGTGAAACAACAAAATTGGTGTCTCTTTCTCTTTCCCTCTCTCCTTACCTCCTTTCTTCTTTCTCTCTCTCAAATCAAAAAAAAGAAAAAGAAAAAAGAAAAAACTCTGTTGCAGTAGAATCAAGAGAATGGAAAGGGAGGATTTGGAGTTAGTGAGTCTGGCACTCAAAGAATGAGGATAATTGGGTAGGAATGTGGGGTCAGGAAAGATTTTTGTTTTGTTATAAAGTGAGAAAGATTACAGCATATATATGCGTGGAGATGATCCAATAGAGAGGGATAACTTGATTTCATAGCAGAAAGAGAGAAGATTGCTGGAGTGATGTCCTGATTAGGTGTGGGGCTAGTGTATTGGGTACTAGAGGGAGAGATTGGCCAAATGTAGGAGGAGCATGATCAAATTCATGTGGAGGGAAGGGGCTTCTATAAGGGATGGGGAGAACATGTGGACAATTTCTATAGATTGCTTCTGTTTTCTCAGTGAATAGGACATGAAGTCATCATTTGAAAGTAGGGAGGAGGTGTAGGTTTGAAACAAGAGAAATAGATATGAGAGAGATAGAAGAGATGGAAAATTGAATGAACCAGGGAATATAGTGGGATTGCTGTGTAGCTCTAAAGGCCTACTTCAGGTTAGTGATCATAAATTTAATTGAATGAACCAGGGAATATAGCGGGACATATAACTTGGTTATTTGTGTGCGGTTTTTTTTCAGCCTTACTTAGTTCTGCAAGTGCAAATTTTTTTAATAGGCAGAGAGTTGGATATAACCAAGTTTGGGATTTTGCCTGGTAAATATGATAAAGTCAAAGAGGGCCGAGGGCTTTGAGGGTGATGCAGAGGAGTGATTTTAGTAACAGACTATGGAATCTAAGCCAGTTTAGGAGCGATGTGAGAACTTGAAAGGAGAGACAGTGAAAAGGTAGTTTCATTAGATTGTAGGTCCTAATAGAATTAAAAAAATGTTGGAGTTAGGATATTAAGGGTGCCAGGTATAAAGATAAGTGATTAGGATGATTGAAGTTGAGATTGTGGAGCAGTTGCTATATTATATTGGTAAAGACAAAATCTAGTCTGTCACTATGAGAGTCTGAGATGGGGCAGAGGGCAAGATCGAGTATCAGAAGGTTTCACCTATATGGATGTTGAAAACACTAAGAATGATAGGAATAGTGATA